AAAAAAAAAAAAAAAGAAAAACAAAAGGGAAAAAAAAAAAAAAAAGAAAAACAAAAGGGGAAAATAATCTGGTTTTGCAATGAAAGCTGTTTCCAGCTGCAATTTCCAAGCACAGCACTGTCACCACAGGTATCCTACAGCAATTAGCTCCTGATATTTTTACTTTTAGTCACATCCAGACCTGCTTTGCTTTGCTGTAGCCTCCAAAGGGGGTTCCTGGGGGTCTGGAAAACCCTGGGAGGAGRAGGAGGAGGAAGAGAAAAAGAAGGAGGAGGAGGAGGAGCTGAATGTTGTTCCAGGAGGRGGGAGCAGGCGTGTGAAGGAGAGGGAAGTGCTCCTCGGTTTCTCCTTTTTTGAGCTGTGGTTGTAAAACCACATCAATTAGCTGAGAAGTTCAGAGGCTCAAGTGAAACTTAATTCACTTTTTCTTAATGACTCCGGCTTTGAAAGTGATTTCAAAGTGCAAATTAAACACRGGAGCTTCTGCTCTGCCCTCCGGAGCTACAAATCTCAGGCAATCAGAGAATCCTGGAATATCCTGAGCTGGGAGKGACCCTMAAGGATCATCAATCTGATTCCTGGCTTTGCACAGACACCCCAAAATTCCAYCCTGTGCCTGGGAGTGTTCTCCAAACRTTCCTGGAGCTCTGGCAGCTTGGGAATACACCCATTCCCTAGGGAATTCACCCTCTGGAGGCAGAACTTTTCCCTGATATCCCACCCAGACCTTCCCTGGCACAGCTCCACGTTTGGTGGGTTGGGATTTGTTGATTCCTGAAGTCTGGAAGTGCCTCTTCTATTTCCAATTAATGTCCTGGGATGACTCAGCGCAGGAAAGAGGAGGTGAAACTCGCGGGGTTGGTTCTAAAACCCCTCCCACGGGGCCACCCTCGGCCAGGAAGCAGCAATAATTGAACTGGAAAAGAATCAGATCCCATTAAATCCTGCCAGAGCTGTGAAATCCTTCAGACACGAAGCTSCTTTGCTACAAAAATTGAGTTTAACCACCCTGATCTCCCTGATTTGTTCAGGATCCACACGTCAGGCCGCACACAAGATGGGGAATCACCTCATTTCAACCTTTTCCATGAGAAAATCCAATTTCCACAGCTGCTCTGACAGGATTTATTGACACCTGTGCCTTTGTTTAAACCCAGAAGAGCCACAAAAGGCCCTGGCTCTTGTAAAATTCTGTGTTTTAAAGGATTTTAAAGCCACAGGAGTGGCTGGGAGCCACACAGAGCTGTAGCAAATCCTAATTAATGTGRGGAACACCAGGAATTTCCAATCTTTACCTTTTTGTACCAAAAACTGAGAGTAAATAAGTAAAATTCTGCCACTGTTTTGGCTCCAGGATAATTTTCTTCCTGCAGATGTTGCAAGAAACAGGATTCATTTCCTAATAATCTGATCCTGCTGCAAGATCTACACTTAAGAACTGCACTGAAGGCCTAAAGGTTACTAAAATTCACTGCCACAACCCTGGTGGAAAGACATTTAATCCTAATTTAATGAAATAACACAGTGCTCTGCTACTCCTACATTTAAATCTTTTAAATGATAAATTTTGTGTGTTCCACAACAAAACTAAATGGTCAGGGGCTCAGGCTCAGCTGCTGTCCCTGTGCCTCTGGCTGCATTTCACCATTTCCAGGCTTCACAAAGACGTCAGCATTCCCATGGCATCATCTTGAGGGCACAAAACTGGGATTTATTCAAAAGTCACTGGAATTTATTTATAAATAAAACCTTTTATTTTTTGGATGAAAGAAACTGAGGGAAACAGTACAGCCACGGAGTCTAGAGGAAATCAGCTATTTTTAATGATATTAAAAAKGAATGGATTTTATTTTTCTTGTAATGATATACTCATGGAATCGTGGAATGGTTTGGGTTGGAGAGGGGACTTAAAGCTCATCTTGTCTCACTCCCTGCCAGGGGCAGGGACATTTTCCACTGTCCCAGGGTGCTCCAATCTTCATCCAGCCTGGCTTTGGGCACTGCCAGGGATCCAGGGGCACCCACAGCTTCTCTGTGCCAGGGCCTTCCCATCCTCATAGGTTAGAATTTCTCCCCAATATCCCATCTAAATGCACCCTCTGGCAGTGTGACCCCATTCCCTGTGTCCTGTCCCTCCATCCCTTATCCCCAGCCCCTCTCCAGCTCTCCTGGAGCCCCTTAAAGCTCTGGAAAGGCCTCTGATCTCTCCCTGGACCCTTCTCTTCCCCATCTCTCCCAGCCAGACCCACAGCACAGTTTCCCCAACCCTTGCAAATTCTCTCCGGCCCCAGCATCTCCACATCCCGCAACGCCTCCCCCGCACCCCGAACACTACCAGAACCCCTCCCCAGCTCCCCCATCCCCACAGAAACACCTCACCAAGGTCAGAGCCACCTCCAGCATGGGAGCGAGCGCCAGGGTKCCGTGGAAGAGCGGGATGCAGTCCACGAACAGCGCGGGCTGCGGCGGCCGCGGGGCGGGCGGGCGCTCGGCCACCAGCAGCCCGTTGACGGCGCAGTGCGGGTATTTAGCGCCGTGCAGGACCATTTTGCAGTAAGCCTGGGTGGTCAGCTTCATGGTGCCGTGTCCCGGTCCCGGTTCCAGTCCCGGTCCCGGCCCGGTCCCGGCCCCGGCCCCTCACGCCGCTCCCCGCCCGCCGCCAAGCGCCGCCGCTGTCGGGAAGCGCCGCCAAGCGCGGCCGGCTTTACGACAGCGATTTTGGGTGGTTTTGGGGGATTTGGGGAGAGCGGGGAGGATCCTTTAAAATTGTGTGGGGTGAGGGGTGTTGGGGCGGTGTGTGAGGGGCAGCGCGGCGATCTGCGGGTTGTGTGGTTTAGGAACAGCCGCGTGGAATCGCGGCCTCATGGCATGGATGGGGCTGGAAATGTCTCTGGAATTGTGGAGATGGAAAAGATCTCGGGGGTTGTGGAGATGGAAAAGATTTCCGGGGTTGTAGAGGTGGAAAAGATCTCCGGGATCATGGAGATGGAAAAGATCTCTGGGGTAGTGGAGATGGAAAAGATCTCTGGGGTTGTGGAGATGGAAAAGATTTCTGGAATTGTGGAGATGGAAAAGATTTTCGGGGTTGTGGAAGTGGAAAAGATCTCTGGGGTTGTGGAGATGGAAATTATCTCTGGAATTGTGGAGATGGAAACGATCTCTGGGGTTGTAGAGGTGGAAAAGATCTGTGGGGTTGTAAAGATGGAAAAGATTTCTGGGTGTGTGGAGATGGAAAAGATCTCTGTAATTGTGGAGATGGAAACGATCTCTGGAATTGTGGAGATGGAAACGATCTCTGGAATTGTGGAGATGGAAAAAATTTCTGGGGTAGTGGAGGTGGAAAAAGATCTCTGGGGTTGAGGAGATGGAAAAGATCCCTGGAATTGTGGAGATGGAAATTATCTCTGGAACCATGGAGATGTAAAAGATCTCTGGAATTGTGGAGACGGAAAAGATTTCCGGGGTTGTGGAGATGGAAAAGATCTCTGGGGTTGTGGAGATGGAAAAGATTGCTGGAATTGTGGAGATGGAAACGATCTCGGGGGTTGTGGAGATGGAAAAGATCTCTGGAATGGTGGAGATGGAAAAGATCTCTGGGGTTATGGAGACGGAAAAGACCTTTGGGATCATGGAGTCCAACCTGTGACCGATCATCTCCGTCATGATGACATAATTTATGACCTTAATGCTGCTGATTTTAATATGACGACCTTAAATGCCATCCCATCCACTGCCTGCCTTGGGCAGGAGCACCTTCCACAATTCTGGGGTGCTCTGAGCCCCAACCTGGAACTGAACACTTCCAGGGATGTGGCCAAATAATCCCAAATAATAAAGGAGAATTGTTTTTTGTATAAAGGATAACATCTGGAAGAAATGTCTCAGCCACCTCTGTCACACTGATCCCCTTCCCTTCCCAACATCTGGATGCTCTCTGTGCTTTTTCACAGTTTTTGGGCTGCAAACCTCAAATCCTCTGTTCGGCTCTGGGCCACTCATGACAGGACACTGAGTCCAGGAGCATGTTCAGGGAATGGAACGGAGCTGGGGAAGGGTCTGGAGAGGCTGAGGGAGCTGGGAAAGGGCTCAGCCTGGAGCAAAGGGGGATCAGGGGGGACCTTGTGGCTCTGCACAACTCCCTGACAGGAGGGTCTGGCTCTGCTCCAGGGAACAGGGACAGGAGGAGAGGGAACAGGGGGGACACCAGGAGGAATTTCTGCATGGAAAGGGTGCTCGGGGATTGGAACTGCCCAGGGAGGGTTGGAGTGCCCATCCCTGGATGTGCCTGAGGAATTCCTGGATGTGGCACTCAGCGCTCTGGTGGTGATCGTTCACAGCTTGGACTTAACAACCTTGGAGCTCTTTTCCCAGCTGAACGATCCCATGATTGTGATGGTTCACAAGTTGTTATTAACAACCTTGGAGCTCTTTTCGCAGCTGCACGATTCCATGATTTTGATGGTTCACACATTATTATTAATAACCTTGGATCTCTTTTCCCAGCCGCACGATTCCATGATTGTGATGGTTCACATGTTGTTATTAACAGCCTTGGAGCTCTTTTCCCAGCTGAACGATCCCATGATTGTGATGGTTCACAAGTTGTTATTAACAACCTTGGAGCTCTTTTCGCAGATGAACAATTCCATGATTGTGATGGTTCCCAAGTTGTTATTAATAACCTTGGAGCTCTTTTCGCAGATGAACAATTCCATGATTGTGATCGTTCCCAAGTTGTTATTAATAACCTTGGAGCTCTTTTCCCAGCTGCACGATCCCATGATTGTGATTGGTCACAAGTTGTTATTAACAACCTTGGATCTCTTTTCGCAGCTGCACGATTCCATGATTGTGATGGTTCACAAGTTGTTATTAATAACCTTGGATTTCTTTTTCCATCTGCACGATCCCATGATTGTGATGGTTCACACGTTATTATTAATAACCTTGGATCTCTTTTCGCAGGTGAACGATCCCATGATTGTGATGGTTCACAAGTTATTATTAACAACCTTGGAGCTCTTTTCCCAGCCACACGATTCCATGATTGTGATGGCTCCCAAGTTGTTATTAATGACTTTGGAGCGCTTTTCCCTCCTCAGCCATGCAGGGATTCYGGCAATCCTCCGGCGGCGGTCCGCCCGCATCCCGTCAGCCCTCGCGCGGGGCCGCTCCGGCCCGGCGCTCTCGCTGTCCCCGCTCCCGGCGTGCCCCGTGCTTCCGGCCGCCGCTCCTTCCGGTCCCGCCCGCGGTAGAGGACGGTCGCCAGGTCGTGAGGCCGGGACGGGCCGGGAGGGGACGGGGAACGGGCTGGGAACGGGCTGGGGAGGACAACGGGAGCCCCCACGCYATCCCCACCCGCGCCTGGGCTGGCKGGGCAGCGCGGGTTGGGTGTGAGGGGGSAGCGCCGCGACCCCTCCCGAGGGTCTCACCGTGTCCGTGCGGGGTTGTGTCACCGGTGTCGTTACATGTCGGGCGGGGCTGAGGCCACAGCCGGGGAGGGCAAGGTCAGGGACGGGCGGGGGAGCTTGAGCGGTTTAGGGCAGAGCTGGAGGAGTTCAATCCCGTGTGTGTGGGGGAATCCGTTGTGTGGGATCCCGCCCTTGTCCGGGATGTGCCGGGATGGTTCCTTGCTGGGATGTGCTTAGGCTCCGTTCACTTGGCGCTCCTGGAGTCTGCCCAGGAATGGTTTATTTTGGAATTACAGCGTCCCAGACGGGTGGTTTAAATAACGGAATGTCCTTTGCTTCGAGGCTCGGGTTAAAAACAGGGAGAGACAGGCTCATCCAAATCAGCTTAGTGTGAGAATATCCCTGAAAAGCATGGAGTGATGCGCTGCCCTCTTGAGAAGGAGCAGGAAATCTTGAGGCTGTACTTTTTTTTACTATAAACYCGTGGAAAATGTTGTTATTTCTCCTCGGGCACTGACCTGTTGCTGCCTGCCCCTGCAGGATGTTGGCTTCCCGAGTGTTCAACCTTGTCGGGAGAAGATCCATCTCCACCTCTCTGTGCCTGAGAGCACATGGACATGGTGGGTCCTAATAAAACACGACAGGGGCATGCAAAGCTGCTCTGGGAGTCTGGATCAGGGGAGGATTGGGATGGAGGGAGCAGTGGGAGGTGGCAGCAATCACAATCATGGAATCATTCATTTGGGAAAAGAGCTCTGAGGTCATCGAGTCCAAGCAGTGCCCAATCCCTACCTTGTCACCAACTCAGAGCACTGAGTACCATGTCCAGGCCTTCCTTGGACACCTCCAGGGCACTCCAAACCTCCCTGGGCAGCCCATTCCAATCCCTGACCACCCTTTCCATGCAGAAATTCCTCCTGATGTCCACCCTGACCCTTAAATTCCCTTCCAACCCAAACCATCTTGGAATTCTCTTCTCACACCATTTAAAAATGCTTCATCTGCAAATCCTTCCCCCCTGAATTCCTGCGCTTTTTGGAGCTGTTGGCTTTCGTGCTGTGCCCAGTAAGAGACGTTTGCAGTGGTGTGTGTCTGTGTCCCCTCAGCTGGCGTTGTCAAGGCAGAGGATTACACCCTCCCAGCCTACGTGGACCGGCGGGACGTCCCCCTGCCCGAGGTGGCCTTTGTCAGGAACCTCTCTGCGCAGCAGCAGGCGCTGAAGGAGAAGGAGAAGGCATCGTGGAGCGCCCTGTCTGTGGATGAGAAAGTGCAGTGTAGGTTTGGGGGGGTTTGGAGTGGCCTCACATGCAGCAAAAGCACAATTTTTGTGTTCAGTGTTATGGGATGGGTTGGATTGGAAKGGGTTTTGAAGATCTTCTTGTTCCAGGGTGCTCCAAGCCATGTCCAGCCTGGCCTTGGACACTTCCAGGGATCCAGGAGCATCCCCASCCTCACAGGGGAGAATTCCTTCCCAATATCCCATCAAAACCCACTCTCAGCTCAAAGCCATTCCCCCTTGTCCTGTCACTCCAGCTCCTTGTCAAAAGTCATTTGACAAGTGTTTATTCCAGGCCATACCTGGAACAGCTCTTCATCCCTATTTGTCCCAGTGTCTCTGTGAACAGAGCTGATCCTTGAAGGAATTTTGTTATTTGTGGAGTTCTTTGTATGCACACGTGGAGATCCATTGGTTTTTATTCCCAAGATCTTTGGTGCTGTTACAGGACATGAAATGCACCTGCTGTGGCCAAACCTGAGGCTGCATTCAGCCATTTCTTCCTCTTCCAGAAACCAAATAATTATATTTATTATTATTTATTTATTAATAATTATATTTATTTCTTGATTCCCACCTGCTTTCAACAAGCCAGAAAAAAAAATCCCTTCACTACAACAACGTGCCATTGTTAGTCCAGCTGAGTGAAGTGAGCCCCAAACACAGACGTGGATTTGAATRTTAATGACCACTGACCTTGGCATGAACCAAAATGCAGCGAATGAAAGCTCCCCTTGGGTGTTTTGACTTGCAAATAAAACTCCTCTCGTGATGTGAAGGGAGAACCTGGTGTGGGAAAGGTTTAAAACTCTTTGAGGAATTGCTCTGATGTTCCTGAGCACTCTCCAAATTTTCTGTTGCGTTGGATTTTAAATTCCTGTGGATTTCAGTGGCAGAGCTGAGAAGCCTTTTGAGCTCAAAACATTCCTGTTGGAATTAATTGTGCTAGGAAGCTTTGGGGTCAAGAACCACACTGGGAGGGGAGGAAGGAAACCTCCCACTTTCCCTTCTTTCAGGTTCATACTGCACCTTTTGCCCAACTTTTAGGATAACCTATAAAAAGAAGACTATCATTGATGTGGGGTTGGAACAACTCCTTGGTCTTGATGTGGGAGAGATGCCAAACCTAATTTAAAATCCATCCCCTTTTGGGCAGCCTCAGGCTTTGTTCACCTCCCTSTGCAGAGTTCTGGGTCACCTGCAACTCCCAGGAAAAGTTTAAAGAGAGGATTTGTTACTTTTTCCCCCGCAGTGTATCGAATTAAATTCAACGAGACCTACGCAGAGATGAACAAAGGGACAAACGAGTGGAAAACCATCCTGGGGGGAGCGTTGTTCTTCCTCGGTCTCACTGGAGTCATACTCATCTGGCAGAAGCATTTCAGTAAGTAACTCCTCTGTGGAGAGCAGGATGAGGTGATGCCTGATGGCGATTCTTTGTGGGATCAGGCTGGTTTATGGAACAGCCATAATAAGGAATTCCCAGCAGGAACTGTTTGTAAATCCCTGAAAACGCCATCCTGGAGGTGTAACTTGGAAATCAGGGGGAATGCAGCATCAATATTSAGGAAGCTGACTCATGGAAAGGTGGTGGAGCTTTGGGAGGATGGGAAATTGAGGGGATTGAATGATGATACTCCTGATCCCAGAACTTCCCCTCTCTGCTGCCGGAAAAGGTTTTGCTGCCTTGGTAGTGARCATTTGGGTTTCTGCCATGTTTGGCTGCTTTCCCAGCTAAGGATCCGACCTCCAGGGAGCCTCCACTGCCAGGAGGCAGAGCAGCAGTTAAAGGAGCTGCTCCCTGCCTTGAGGCTCCCAAAAAAGGGAAAGCAGGAAACTGTTACCTTGGTAATGAAGGAAACYGCTGGAGAATCCATGTGGGAATGTGGTCTGAGCTGGATGCTGCAGGAACTGGGTGTAAGGAGTGGAGGTTTGAACATTTCATGGGATCACAGGCTGGTTTGGGTGGGAAGGRTCTGAAAGATTATCCCATTATYCCTGCCATGGGCARGGAMACCTCCCACTATCCCAGGTTCCTCCAAGCTCATCCARCCTGGCCTTGGACACTCCAGGGATGGGGCAGCCACAGCTTCTCTGGGCACCCTGCTCCAATGGGGTGAAAAACCTTTTATTAATGAGACTTTTCCCAAAATTCCCAACTTGCTTGCATGGCATCAGGACATAATTCCATAATTCCCTAATTCCATAATTCCCTAATTCCTTAAATTCCCTTTGCCATCCTGCAGTGTACCCCCCCATCCCGCACACCTTCAGCGAGGAGTGGCTGTCGGCGCAGACCAAGAGGATGTTGGACATGAGGGTTAACCCCGTGGAGGGCATCTCAGCCCAGTGGGATTTTGACAAGAACGAATGGAAGAAATAAAGCAACTCAGTGGAAAACCTGCTCTGCTTGAATATGAAATGATTCCATCACCTGTGCGTGACCTCGTTGCTTGTTGTACTGGAACACCCTCTCCACCTCCAGAAATGCTAATAAATGTCTGGTTAACTTGAGAGCTGCCTGTTCTTGGTTTCTGGATGTTTTTGGTGGGGTGGCAGATTGGGTTCCTTGACAAGATTTGGGTGCTTGGCTTAATCTTTTCTAAGAAAACTGCTCCCAAATTTCTTCCCTCAGCTAAGCTGGACTCTACAGGGTTTTGGTGTAAAAATGCCCCTCTGACAACTAAACCAAGCTCAGACTTCAGTTTACTCTTTTGCTGATGACAGGAAACCATCAGGAAACTTGATTTTGTGGTTTAGGGGCTGTGGTGGGGTCTCAGCCACTTCCYGGTCCTTCTTTCCCTTCCACTCAGAAATTTGGGGAAGGTTTTTAAGGTGAGATTGTTTGGTGGGTGTTAAACAATGAGCTCCCCTTCCTGCACCTGAAAAATCCCTTAAGTGAAAAATTTGGGGTGCTGAGAAGGATGAGTGTGACAGAATCCCAGGCTGCTGATGGCATCATTGCTTTCCAATATCCCATCAAATATGGTAAATGTTGCTTTTCCTTGCTTTTTGCACAGCTCCTGGTGGCTCTGAGCTGAGTGAGAGACTTGGGGTTTGTCAGGAAAATGATGTTTCAAAGGAAATGCTGCAGTTCCAGTGCTGCTTCACCTGCTGGGATAGCAGAGTTCCTTCTGGGAGCGTCCTTCCCAAAAGGCTGTGGAACCCCAGGGAGCCCAGGAGAGAAACCTGAGCCTTGCCACGATCCCAGATCCTTATTTCACCCTCCCCTTCCTGGCAGCAGCCACTCTGTGTTCCCTTTCCCTCCGGAGCAGCAGCAGGAGCAGCCAGAGCAGCCTGCAGGTGAGCTGACTTTGCCAGGGCTCTGCTTGCTCCCCTCCTGGCCCATTTCCCTTCCCCCTGGCACAGYGATGAGCTCTTGGAAGGGGTCAGATCTCATCATCCTCTCCGGGATTTTCGGGTGTTTATTTGCAGGTAGCCCTGGAAACGGAGAAACCATCCAAATCCTGGTCCTGGGGAGAGAAAATCCATGGGGAGTGGAATGAGCAAGGTACAGGGGGCAGTGGGATGGTGGCCAGCACSTCCTCTGGTTCTGTAGCCCAAGGATGCACTTCCCAGGCCACCAGGATCCCCTAAGAACAGCTATTTGCACCTTCCTCTTTCCCACACCCCTTTGAAATTCCAAGCACTTCAAGAGAATTAAGAAAACAAACACGGATTTATTTTCAAGGTTGATATCCTCAGGTCTGCAGGGGTCAGAGAAGTGACAGCTGGCCTTAAATGCTCATCCCTGGGGTGGCAAAGCCTTGGCATTGTCATCCTTAGGGCTGACAGGGATCCTTGCAGGGAAATTCCTCCCTTTCCACCCTCGGGATGTGCCCCAGCCAAGGGGGAAGCGGGATTTCATTTCTGCTTTTCCCTCCAGRGCTGGAGGAGGRGATCAATTTCTGTCAGCGTCCTTAAATAACCACTYGGAATGTGAGTCCTCCAGTTTAAAATTAGACTCTGGGACAAAAACAGAGAGATCAGATCAGGGCAAACTCCCTGTGCATGGCTCTGATGTGGTTTTACACCGGGATTTCACCCCCTGTGAACTCAGCCTGACAGGCAAAGTGGCTTTTACAGCCCTCTGCTGTCACCAAACCCTGCTGCCAAGGGCTGGATTGGTGCAGACACTTTTGTAGGATCCAGTTTTGATAAATGCAGGGCTCTGCACCCCATTTCAGTGGTCACAGTTTGTGCTGAGCTGAATCCACGTGGTTTAACCCAGCATTGGGCTGGGGCTCAGCTGGATGTGACCAAACATTGAAAATCCTTCCTAAAACTCCTCAAACTTGGGGTCTCCTGCCAGATGGGCACCAGCAAGTCCAACTCTGCCTTTCTGTGCCTCTGCAAATGCTGTGGTGGGTTCTCACACCCCTTAAACACCCTSAGCTGCCCTTTTTCTCCTTCCCAACCCTGCAGCAGTGACCAAATCTGCAGCCTTGCCATCTCTGAACTGCAATAAATATAAATCCTGCTATAAATAGCCTGTGCCCATCCATCCCCAGCTGGCAGATGCAACATTTAAAACTCCACAGGATGGCATCCAACCCTCTCCCATTTCTGTGCTGAGTTTTCCTGAGCTCTGCACTCCTGAGGGGTTTGGGTTCAGCCTTTTTTTGGTTGTTAATCTGTGGATTTGGGGGCTTTTTCTGGGCATGGCCTGGGGAATTTGGTGCCAGGTACTCTGGTCCTGCTGGAGCCAGACCTGGAGCTTGCTGTTCCCATGTTAGAGCTGCCTGGTGCCATCTGAACTCTGTCTCRTTTTTGTCACCTCCCAGATTGTCACCGGTCTCTACCTCGGGAATATCCGTGGTAAGTGTCTGTATTGTGGGATCCCTGGATAGCTGGGATTGAGGATGGAGGATTCCCTCTCCTGGGAATGTCAGCATCTTCCAGGGACCCAAAGCTGCCCAAAATCCCCATCCCAAATGCCAATGATCCCACACTTGAGCCCAGGAAAGGGAGCTGTGGTCACTGGCCATGCTGGAACACCAGGAAACCCTGGGTGTGCCTGAAAATCTCAACAGCAAGGACACAACAGCCTTTTATAATTTCTCTGGATAATTCCTGATTTTGGGGGTGGCTTTAGGCCAAAAGGATATTTTCCTCAGAAGGAAGGAGGTGTCCAATCTCCCTCCCTGCACTCTGTGGGGTGAGAGACAGCAGGAAGGACTGGAATTGGGGTCAGGGGTGGACAGTGATGGGTGTGGGTGGCTGCTGGGTGTGTGGCTTTTCCAATTTCCCTGGCTAATTCCTGATTTTGGGGGTGGCTTTAGGCCAAAGGGGAGATTTTCCTTGGAAGGAAGGAGGTGTCCAATCTCCCTCCTTGCACTCTGTGGGGTGAGAGGCCATGGGAAGGGCTGGAATTGGGGTAAAGGGTGGGCAGTGATGGGTGTGGGTGGCTGCTGGGTGTGTGGCTTTTCCAATTTCCCTGGATAATTCCTGATTTTGGGGATGGCTTTAGGCACCCAGGGAATCCAAGGGAGATTTGCCTTGGAAGGAAGGAGGTGTCCAATCTCCCTCCTTGCACTCTGTGGGGTGAGAGGCCATGGGAAGGGCTGGAATTGGGGTCAAGGGTGGGCAGTGATGGGTGTGGGTGGCTGATGTGTACATGGCTTTTCCAATTTCTCTGGATAATTCCTGATTTTTGGAATGGCTTTAGCCAAAAGGGAGATCCTTCTTGGAAGGAGGTGTCCAATCTCCCTCCTTGCACTCTGTGGGGTGAGAGGCCATGGGAAGGGCTGGAATTGGGGTCAAGGGGTGGGCAGTGATGGGTGTGGGTGGCTGCTGGGTGCATGGTCCCAAAAGGGTGGGTTATTCCCCCGTGGCTCCCGTTTCCAGACTCTGAGGACCGTGAGAAGCTGCTGAGCAAGGGGGTGACCCACATCCTGTCCGTCCACAACCGCGCCAAGCCCGTGCTGGAGGTGTGTGCCCGCCTGGGGGCTTGGGGGGCTGGGAAGGTGCAGATGGGACACCCGGGARCTTTTCGTGGCCCGGGGAGAAGCAATGATGAATTTATCCCGATTTACCCCGATTTACACCGGTTTGCACCGATTTACACCGGGCAGTGCCGCCCAAAGGGGCTCAGYGCCGGTTTTGGGGAGGGGAGAGCGGGGTGTTTGGGGGTCCCGGGCATCACTCGCTGGTTTTTGGGGAGCAGTCGGGACCCGCAGCGATGCGGGGCCGGTGCCCGGTGCTGCCGGGGGGTCCCCACGAGAGGGCGGCGGTGCCCCGTGAATGGAGCCCGGCGGGGAGGGGACACGGCGGGACCGGCACTGCCCGCTCGGGGTGTCCCCCTCTCCTGCTGATCCCGGAGCTGCCGGTGGGGAAACTGAGGCAGGGTGGAGCTGGGGTGATGCCGGAGGGGTGGGATGTGCACAAATCCCGCACGGGCGGTTCCGTGTGTCCGGAGCAGCCGCAGGTTCGGCCCCCGGGATGTGCGGGGAGTGGGGGGCACGGCCGAGGGGGTGGGCATGGCTGGACAGTGAGGATGGCACAGCCATGGGGTGAGGGGAAAATCCTACACATCGTCACATCACAGAATCGTGGACTGSTTTGGGTTGGAAAGGACCTTAAATCCCATCTCATCGCACCCCTGCCATGGCCAGGGACACCTTCCACTGTCCCAGGGTGCTCCAAACCCCGTCCAGCCTGGCCTTGGGCACTGCCAGGGATCCAGGGGCAGCCACAGCTTCTCTGTGCCAGGGCCTGCCCATCATCACAGGGAACAATTCCTGCCCAATATCCCATCTAAATGCACCCTCTGGCAGTGTGACCCCATTCCCTGTGTCCTGTCCCTCCATCCCTTGTCCCCAGTCTCTCTCCAGCTCTCCTGGAGCCCCTTTAGGCTCTGGAAGGGGCTCTGAGCTCTCCCTGCAGCTTCTCCTCTCCAGGTGAACATCCCCAGCTCTCCCAGCCCGGCTCCAGCCCTCGGAGCAGCTCCGTGCCTCCTCTGGACTCTCTCCAGCAGCTCCACATCCTCCTCACGCTGGGGGTGCTTCACCCCAATTTTGGGATTTCTCAGAAAGGGAACAGCACTTCCAGAGCCCCTCATCCTTTCGTGAGGCCACAATAGGGAGAGAACCCCAACACAACCCCGGCCGGAACCTTTTCCCCGCAGAGCGAAAGGGACGGACGGAGGGCGGGGGCAGCGGCGGGGCTCGGCCAGACGGGGAGCAAACCGCACGGAGCGCTTACAACACGGAGCAAACCGCACGGAGCGCCAAGGGGAAGCGGAAAGACACGGAGGAGGGGGGAGCGGGGGTTGAGCAACTTGTCAATCACGGCCCCGAGCCCGCAACCGCAGCTCCGGGCAGCGCTTCTGGCAGCGGCCCCGYTCATTCCGGCGGGGAGCGGGACATCCGTGGGGAGGAGGAGCCGCTGGAGCCGGGGATTGGGGGTGTCGGGGTTTTTTGGGGTGGTTTTGGTGTGTTTGATAGCGTGGGGAGGTTGGGATGGTACCCAGCGTGGAGCTGGGATGAGGTGATGGATGAGAAAATCTGTYCGTGCTCATCCTTCCAACGTGGGTCATTCCAGCGCTGAATTATCCCTTTTCCCATCCTGAATAATATCCACCCCTTCCCTCCTTGAAAAATCCACTTTCTCCACCCTCCTGGTGGTGTTGGGTTGCCTGAGCCAGGATGATCCTGATGGAGATGGGGCAATCCTTGGCACTGCAGGATTTCCCCCTGTTTTGCTAAGAAATTATTAAAAAAAAACCCCAAACCCCGAGATAAAAAGGATCTAAATTTAGCTTCTGATCGAGGAAGCGATGTTTTAAGGGGAGGAAAGTAATCTGACCTAGGCCAGCAGGCAGCAGATGATTTATGGGGTATTAAAAGGACGAGGAGGAAATAACTCATTGATGAGAGAGGCTCTGTCAGTCCCTGTTCACACCCGTCTTCCTGGTGGGGTTTGGGGTCTGGAAAAGGGCTGGCTCTGCTTTGGGGGGCTCTTTGAGCAGTGGAAATGTCCCCACAGCCTGGCCTGTCCTCTGGGATAAAATGGGACCAAACAGCCAGGGGTGGGATGGATTCACCCATCCATTGGGGTGCAGCAAACCCCAAAGGGATTTTCACCTTTGCCCCCCTCTCTGGGTTAGCTGAGGAAGGGAAAAGAGAGAGAAAAGGARGATTTACTGCTTCTTGGAGGTATTTTATTGCTGTTTTATTTTGGATTGCAGGACATGACCTATCTGTGTATCTCGGCCTCGGATTCATCCAGTCAGAACCTGTAAGTGATTTCCCAGCCTTTTTCCTCTTGGCAGCTGTYGGTCAATAAAAGCTCAGGTTCTGCAGGATCAAGGTTTATTCCACCCATGCTGTGAAATTTTATATAATCCTTGAGCTTCCCAGAAGCTGGGGTTCATTTTTGTGTAGTACATAACATTCCAGGTCTCCAAATCAATTTTTTTTGTGTGTGTTTGCAGTCAGGAAATTTAATTTTTCATTGAATTTTGGAATTTTTCCACTGGGCAGTGTTGAAAATTGGAGAGTTAGRAAGATGATTTGTGTCAGTCTTCCAGGCTTTTTTTTTTTTTTTGAAAGAGAAATTTATTAAAATTAACTTTTTTTTTCATCATATAAAGCACAGATGCTCATAAGTCTTGGAATTATGTTTTGGAGATGAAACTGCTCTGAGGAGCTGAGAGGAATTCCCAGGATTTTGTGGGATGCTTTGGGTGATAGGCACCCATAAATCATCCATTTCAAACAGCAAATTGGTGACTCCGAGGGGGTTTTTTCTCTCCTCACAAACCCTAAAAAGCATCAAAATTTAATTCCCAGGGCCCAGACTGAGCCCTGCCTGTGGAGCTGCAGGTTTTTCCAGCATCCTTGGGAACAGCCATGCCCAGGGCTGGAATTCTGCTTGCTCACGGTCCGGCTGAGCGGAAAGAGAAGCTTTACAAGAAAACCCTGCCTCAGCAAGAACTGGGATTTTTGGTTGTTATTTTTTTCCCCTTCGCTCATTTCTTTGC